ATTATAAGAATATTTATTAAAATTTATATAACTTAATTTTATTTATTAAAATTAAAAATTTTAATAAATTCAAAAAAAAAGTGGTATGCAATTACAAAACTATTGCAAGTATAATCACAATAACGAGTGCTACTAAAAGAACTCCAACAATTAAAATACTCACTTTATCTGATGCTCTTAATCTAACTTTTTCAACTTTTTGTGTAGTCTTTTGAATATGTGCATCAACATTATTTACTTTACTTGAAATCTATTTCTTATTTAATTTTTATTTCTTTTATTTATTTAAATCTCAAAAACAAACTTCATCAAGAAGTGGTTCTTGTTCATTAATTTCTTGGTCAATGTTTTGTGCTATTTTCTTTTGAATTCCAACAGATGCTGCAATCATATCAATTTGTTCATCTTGTTCTACTTTTTTAATCTTCTTTCTTTTATTTTATTATTATTTTTACAAACTTGCTTGTAGATTTCTTAGTTCATCAGATTTCTCACTGTAATTAATTGGTTGGCTTGGTTCTGTATTATTAAAACTATTGTTTGAATAATTTGTTTGTCCAAAATCAGGATCCATTTTTAATGCTCTTTTCTAGTTTCTTCTTCTTTTTTAAGATATTTTCATTTTTTCATTTTTTTTTTTTAATTCCAGTTGACAAACTTATTCGACATCTTTTCTTATTTTTTATTATTGTTATTTATTCCTTTTTTTTTTCTTGTGTTTTTTATAATCATTATTTAATTACTTATTCTTTCTACTATTCTTATTGTATTATTATTATTATTCTTCATTGAGTCTGTCATTTGTTTCATTGGAAATTATTTTTATAAGATTGTGTTGGTTGTTTTTGATTATTTAATTGAAAATTGTAATGCACCACTTCTTGCTGTAATCATTTTGTCAATCTTCTTCAATCAAATATGAAATGAAGTTCAAATTATTTGTGTTGTATTTCTTATAACAAACGGTCAGTGGTTGTAATGAGATATGAAAGATTTAAATGAAGAGAAATTTAAATAAAAAGAAGAAGAGAAATAAAGGAGAAAAATAAAAAAAGAAAAGAACTAAAAAGAAATAAAATGCACAGAATCATTCAAGAAATCATCAATGTTATGATGGTTATTTTCTATATTATGGGGATACTTATTCACATAAATTGTTTATATCAAACAAAAGAATATGGAGGATGGTTATACTTTGTCGAAGGAGAATTTCGAATAAGATATAATATACCAATCACAATATGTTTAATATCAACAATAATTGAGTTTACTGTGATGAAAAAAGACGAATTTCAAAAATATAATAAAACAGTAATAATTGGAATATTAATAATATTTAATGTGATTGGAATGATCATAGGATATTACTTTTATTGTTACAAAACAATTACAGTGACATTCACAGGACAATCATTATTCATATCAACTACATTTATAGTTATAGGGTTTGTTTATTAGTGATTTAAAGAAATAAAAAATACACAGAATCCTAATAAAATAGAAATTTAATGAAAGCATTAAAAGAAGGAGAGAAAGATGAAATATTTTAGTTAATCATCTTTATAACTTCTTGTCTTTTTTAAAAATAAGAAACAACAAAAGTTGTTAAATAATTAGCTGACTTTTTGTTGTATGTACTAATCCAGAATTGTTGTTTTTTCTTTACTTATTTGTTCTCCTCATAAGGCTTCAATGAAAGATGAATGTTCAGTTCTAATTGCTTTATGAATTGTTATTTCTCTGACTTTATAATAGAGTAAAATTTTTTGTTTTAAGAGAAAAAGATTCATTATAGGAAGCAATGTAAAAAATTACTACAACCAAAGAAGGAGAAATCCATATCACCAAGAAATCTAAAGGACCAAAATGAGTGAGAAGATGTATATTTGTAATGAAATAAATGTAATAATTGTTAACATCAAATCATTAAAATAATGACCATCGTAATTACATTAGTTAAGGTATTAATTATTTTACTCACCAGTTCACTCAGTTTCAATACAAGTAATAGACAATATCATGATAGAATTAAAAGATGTGGAATATCAAAAAAAGAAAAGAAAAATAGGCTATAACATAAATAATGAAAAGGTTAAAAGAAGAGGTTATAATACTTACAAAAAAATATAAATAAAAGAAGTATAGAATGTGCGTTGTTGATAATCTATAGAATCTTGGATATTTATGAAAGAAACAAACAGACTCTTTGATCAATTATTATATTTCATTCATTAATAATAAAAATATATTTAACAAAAAATAACCAAGAACAAAAACAAATAATATTATCACTTTTTGTTTTGTTTTCATACAACAATTTATTATGACAATTAAATAAAATAGCTAAACAAGGTCAAACATAATTTAAAATAAATAAAAACATAATATGAGATTAGAGTTAAAGTATATGAAAAATAAATAAAAACCATTTAATCTTTCACTTATTTTTTTGTTTCAATAACATAAAAATATTAACAAACTAATTGATTTAACTTTTTACTGTGGTATAATTAAATTTAATAATTAATTATTATATCCAATTGATTATGATTAATTTTTTCTGTATGTCTTTATTTTATGAAAAGTTTATTTACATTTTATATTATATTATAGGATTAATTGAATAGTTATTGTATTAACATTAATTGTTTCTTATTTATTATCAATTTTATTATTTGTTAATTAATCTCTTTGTTTTTCTCAATAACATTTTAGTTTCTTCAAAAATAGAAAGAAAGATAAATTAAGCTTAAATTGTATTATTCATTTAAGCTTATTTAACCATTTTGTGAGACTATATAAATATTTACTTTTCAATTGTATAACACTGTCAAGTGAAATGAAAATATGAAAGAACAATATTTTATATTAATAATGTTATTTAAAATTAATAAAAATGAAAAGAACAAAAGAATAAATGATAAAATAATAAATAAAATGATAAGTTAATACTTGTTTAATTATTTATGAATTTTATTTTAATCTTTATTCATTAATTTAAATTAAAATGGAAGGGTTAATGATAAATGATCAATTAATCAAAGAAGTAGTAGAAACACTTCCAAATATTCAACAATCAATTGGTGATACTGCTAAACAGTATCAATATTATTTAGGAAGTATTAAAAATGAAATATTTGAGAAACAAGATAATGAAACATATGAACAAGCAATTAAAAGAGGAGAAGGAATATTTGACAGAATGGATGAAGTATTTAGAAGAAGAAGAGCAGTAATAGAAAAAAGTCAAGAAACAATTAGTCAAATAGAAACAGTTAAGAATAAATTAGAAGAGATAATACAAGAATGTGGTAATGATTCAGAAATACTAAGTAAAACACAAAATGAACTAATCAATAAAATTATTCACATGGAAGAAATGGATATGGAAGATAAAATTAATAAATTAGAAGAACAAATTAACAAAATTAAAACAAGATTTAATAAGAAGAAAGAAGAATGGGAAACTTATTGCAGTGATTATTTAGAGAGAAAGAGACAAGAAGAAGATGAGAGATTACGAAAAATGAAAGGAATGAGTACAATGGAAGAAATGAAGCAACTAGAAGAATGGACAGAAAGAAGAATAGGAAATATACTATTTGATTCAGATATTGATGATTGGAATAGGGATATATCAGTATTTGAAGAAAAAATAATGAATAAAGAACATATAATAATTATTATTGAAGATAAAAACGGAAATAAATTTGGAGGATATGTTAATGTGAAAATTGATGGAGTTAGTAAAGATATAAATGATCCCAAATCATTTTTATTTTCATTAAAATCAAAAGGAAGAATAAAAGAAATGATGAAATTTGATATTAACGAACCAGAATATGCATTTAAATTGTGGAACCAATCAAGCAAATGTCTATTTGAATTTGGAAATAATGGAGATGATATTTGTGTTTATAAAGAAAATGATAAAACAATATCATATTGTAATCAATCTTCATATGAATATAAAGGAATATCAAATGCACTTTGTGGAAAAGAATATCCAGAATGTTTCACACCACAACGAATCATTGTAATTGAAATGAAATGATTTTTATTCATTATTATTTATTTGAAATATAAAAACTAAAAAAAATATAAAATAAAATCATGAATATGAATTTCATTTATCAATAAATGAAATAATGAATATAAAAATGTTCATATTTCATTCTTGTTTTATTTCATTTCAAATATTCATAGTCATTGTGCTATTTGAGATAATAAATAATAAGAATAAACTCTTTTTGTCTTGTGACTGACAAATGTCATTTATTTTTATTACCATTAGCTCTTTAATCATAAATATTTCATTATCTTTTCTATTAATCAATTTAAATAATCTAATAATATCAATGAATTTATAAGAAAATATTCCTTTAATAATATACTTTATTACTTTCATACTAAATTATAACTTCTTCTTGACAAATTAATTTTGATTATAGTATTTCATTATATTCAACAAATTTTATTAGTAACTGAATTTGTTATGAAATTGGCCTTATTTTATTTATATTGTTCTATACAATTAAAACTTATTATTTATTTAGTTTACTTGTTTTAGATCTATGTTATGAATAATCGTTATTAAAAGATTATCCAAATAAGATTGTTTCAAGAACACAAAAAGAAACTGAGAAAACTCTCTTAGAAAAAAAGAATTTTCTGAATGATTTTTATAGTTAAAAAAGAGTCAAATGAATTTCTCATTGTTAAAAATAACAATGTAATTAATTTTTATTTAATAAGAAAGAATATAAATCATTTAATTATTAATTAATTAATTTAAAAAGTAAATAAAATTAATAAAAAATTAATAAAATTACTTTTTCTTGCTTCTGGTAGATTGTTTATCAACAAATTCAACAATCTTTTCATCTAAAACTAATCCTTTTCTTTTTCTTGTATTATCTATAGCGATTTTAGCGATATTCTTAATATCAGCTTTTTCACCATACTCTTCTAATTCTTCTTCTGTTGTTGGGACCCAGAACGGATCAATTGCAATGGTCACAAACCGATCAAATTGAGTTTGTGTAAATGCAGCACCAGAAGTTTGACCTAACATATCATCTGTAAATCCAAAAGATTCAGCAACAGGTAGTTGTGCTTTAATAATATTCATTAGTTGAGTTTCATCATATCCTTCTTCAAGGGTTTTTGCTCTTCTTTTATCTAATACTTGAAAAACTTTACCAATACATTCAGTTGGACATCTAATATCACATAAATACATTGGCTCTTTAATCCTTTGTCTTCCTAATTGGAATGCAGCTAAACAAGCATCTTTAAATGCAGTAATAACTTGTCCTTGAATATTACCACTTCTTGTTTCTTCATCAATAAGAATTTCATCAATAATAAATATTAGTCCTTCCATTGGTTCATCGCATAGAGGTCCAGCAGAAGTAGCTAATTGAAATCCACTAATAACAGCATTAGTAATTAACGAAGTATAATTTTTGATATCTTTATCTTGAGGCCAAAGTGGGAGATCTTCATCAGTAAGATTAATAAGAATATTTGGCCCACATCTTTTTGGTCCAAAACAAATTAATTTATTTTTCCATTCATTGTTTTCTCCTTCTAAAATAGTTTTAATTTTTTGATTTAAATGTTCATCTGTTTGATGATTTCTACTTGACATTCTTAACATTGTTGAAATATCATTAATCTTCTCAATTGTTTCTTCTTTCATCGCAACACAATGGACTTTAAATGAAACACTTTCATCTGCTGTAGTTTCTTCAGCAAAGCCAGATTGCCCAAGAATAGTTTCTCTATAAGAAACAATAGGATCAGTATAAGTAAATGGTACACGTGCAAATAATTCTTTTAGATCTTTCATACATCTTTCAAGATGTAATTCTCCAGTTGTTAATAATAAATTTTCTCCTGAGTCTTGAATAGTAGTTATAACAGATGGATCTGATAATGCAAGTAGATTTAATCCATCAATTAATGCTTTCATATCTTCACTATGTACTGGTTCAATAGCTACTCTCAATACTGGTTTGGCTCCACTTGATACTAAAGGAGCTAATGGACTACATTGAAGTGTCGAACTTAATGTTGCAGCATTAAACATATTAATTCCAGTAACTTGGATCCCAAGAATATTACCTGCTGGTACTTCTTCCATGTCTTGTGTAGTTTGACCCATTAATAAATAAATTTGATTTGCTTTAAATGAATGGATTTTATCAACTGCATTAGATATAGTTGGATCATATTTTGATGGTAAAATAAAAAGTTCTTGTCCCCGATGAACTGTTCCACCTAAAACTCTACACAAGGCAATCATTTGTTCACCAAATGGGAAAATTTTTGCTGCATAAAGTACACATTCTGGAGATGAAGCGTCACAATGAAGAACAGTATCTTTTAATAATGAAGTATGAGTTGAATAAATTTTATTAATTCTTTTTGGTTGTGCTTCCAATGGAGATGGAAGATGAAGAACTGCACAACGTAATATTGTTTTTGCAATTGGAACAAAATTGTTCATCATTGAAAACAAAAAAGATTTTTCTTCATGAATAGCAAATTCTCTTGCACCAATATTCATCCCTAATGCAGTTGATATTTTAATAATTCTTTGTTTAGCTGCTTCTTTTGTTTTATTATCGAAATATTGATGAACAGTATTGTAAATATCCCAAATTGGTTTTAATGCTAATTGACTAAATACTTTCGTTGTACCATCAATTTGTGTTTTAAATGTTTTACCTGTTTTCATGTTAATAAAGTGTTCTCCCCACAAAATATTCCTTAATGACTCTTCTTTCATTCCAAATTTTTTTGCATAAACTTCTGATATTGCAACCAAATCAAATCCCCATCCATCAATAGCACTTGCAAAAACAACATTTCCTTTAATAGGATCAAAATAATCATCTCCAAATACAGGACCATTATCATCTGTTACAACTGCTGTTGCATTATTTACTGAATTCACTAGTTGTTCTAAATGATCTGTAGCTTCTTCGATACTAAAATTTTTTTCAAATACTAATCGATCAATTTTATTAATTATTAATATCATTTGAAGTCCTTCTGATGCAGCTTGTCTTAACACTGTTTGAGTTTGAACACAAACTCCTTCAATACAATCAACTACAAGTAATGCACCATCAGTTAATCTCACTGCACTACTAACTTCTCCACTAAAATCAACATGACCAGGTGAATCAACTAAATTAAGTAAATGGTGTTGGTCTCCTAATTGAGTATATAAACTAATTGAAGATGTTTTCATAGTAATTTGTCTTACTTGTTCATCATCTCTATAATCAAGATATCTTACTTTCCCTGATAATTTTTTACTAATAATTCCATTACTTGCAATAAGTGCATCACATATAGATGTTTTTCCGTGATCAACATGTGCCAGTACACAAATATTTCTAACATTAGCAGCGTTTTGTTGTAATTTAAGAATAACTTTTGATGGTAATATGGTCATGTTTTAATAGAATAGTTATTTATAAGATTCCTTCTATTTCTATTCATCGTTTTTGAGGGTTGAAGTTTGTCTCATTATTTTTAGTAAAAGAACAAAAAAAGAATGATAAAATTATTTGAGGAAAAAGGATTGTGATAAATTGTTAATTTTTCTTGATTTTATTTTTTATATTTGAACTAGATTCTATATGTATTTGATTATGAATCAAATACTCATATTTAAAGTTATTGTATTAATTAAAGGAATGTATCGAATTTGATTTGATTATAAACACTTAAATTAATGTAATTTTTAAGAACAAAAATGGTTTATGAATGATTGAAGAACTTAATTGGATATTAGAAATAATAAGAATTAACACAGTATATAATAATTAAAAGATAAAACCATTCAAAAAGAAACAAACAGAAAAGAAGAAATAAAGAATGTATCATATTAATTGATAAATAAAACAATGAGATAAGCTTGTAGATAATAATCATAGAAAAGAAGTAACAAAAAGATATAATCTAAATATTTTATAAGTATCAAAGAGTATTTAAATTTAATTTTTTATTTAAATAATATAAAAAGAATAAATAATAATAACATAGTTGTAACACTTATCATTTATTTTTCCTTTATTATTTTTAAATACTTCAATTATTCATTAATTCTAAATAATAATAAACAACTTAAATAAAATAATAAAATTATTTGTTATAATTTGTTCTATTATTTTAGATATATATATTATATATAAATAGTGAGTGTTCGTTCTAAACTAATTCACAATCTTTTTTATTGATAATTTAGAAAGAATAAAGAAAACTCGTATTAATAAAATAAAGTGAATACTTTTAAATTGGTGTGTATGAGTTAATAATTCAAGTAAATATTACCAAATAATTTTTATGCAAAGGTTAAATAAAATAGATAATAATATTAATGAATTGATAACTTATCATAGAATATGAAATGTTTTAGGGATAAATATTTTGAAATTTAACAATAAAAACAATAAAAGATAATACGAAATGGTGAAAGAGAATTAGTTAAATAAAAAATAACACAACCAAAAGAAGGGATAATCAAGAAGAATAAAATTAAATTATTATTTTGAAAATACAAAGAAGAGAAAATTCCAAAAGAAAAATGATAAAAAAGAAGAAAAATAAGAATTAAAAAAAAAAGGATAACTTATAATTTAATAAATGATAAGAAGTGCAACACCATTAATTCAACAAAAGAAAAGTAAAAATTTACTTCCTAATGTTAAAACAATGAATATAAAATGTAAAGATATATGTGAACATTGGGGAATTATTTGGTTAAATTTTGAAAAATTAATAAGAAGTCATAATGAGAATTTATTAAAAAAAGTTCCATGGCATTATAACAATTTACAATTCAAAATGAAACACCAATCGATACATATATCGTCAATTAATATAAAAATATTTCCTGATTATTTTGATAAACAATTATATATAAGATATGATAATCCTAATTTACTTAAATTACATTCACAACAATTAATTGAAAAATATTGTATGAATCAATATTTAAAATCAATTCCAATGAAAAGTTGTTTAAAAAATGAGTTTGAAAGAAAAACAAAAGTACCAGGATATTATATTTATAATTATGGTATTGTTGGTATTAATGAATCAAAATTTGAGGATATTGTTTATACAGCTCATATTCCTTGTATGATCTCTTTAATAGATCAACAATTTCCTATTATTTCAGTAACATTTACTATGTTAATTCCTTCTAATATTCACATATCAAATAATACATTTTTATGGGACATCTTTCTTGATAATTTAAATCTCCTTTTTTTTGAATTCCAATTAAAACATTTAGAAGAACATGGAAAAAATATTGAAAGTTATAAATTATTAAATGATTCATTAACTTCATTAATTAATCATTTTGATGAATATCTTCTTAGTGTTACTTCTAAACAAATTAAAAAAAAATTAATATTTCCAAATAATTTTCCATCAGAAGAATTTATACAAAAAATAATTACGAGTCATTTAACTTCATATTATACATTAATTGTTTCTGACAATTATCATGAATCACAATTTGTTTATGATTTATGTTATCCATTAGATATACCTGATATATATAATCAACCATTATCTTCTCCTATTAATCCTAGAATATTATTTCAACCAAATCCTTTCTTTAGAACAATGTGTTTAACTAATTTCTCAGAAAATTTATATTTCTCTTTACCATTTCCTTTTTGTGTTATTGATCCATTAAAACAAACTATTGCTAGAAGTTCTACTCAAAGTATTATTAAATATTTTATTCAACGCTTAAATTATTTCTTATCTAAAGCATCTCAACGTCTTGGAATTATGAAATTTATTGCAACTATTCCAATTACTGAAATTCTTGTTACAGTCCCTTCAACTCCATTAATTGTTCCATTATCAAAAATTATATTATCAATTAGAACTGATAAAGAAGCTGATTATCTTCATATTTTAATGTTTAAAATGTGTGATATCCTTGCAATGAAAGCACATATTATATTTACAATACTTAAATCAAAAGATATATATAATGATGGTCAACTTACTCTTCAAACTATTAACGAAATAAAAAAACAATCAGGATGTGATACTGAAGCATTAAAAATAATATTAGGAATTTTAAAATTTTCAGAGCCTTATGTTATTGGTGTAGCAATGGAATTAGTAGAAAAACTAATTTGAAATTAATGTATTTTTTATTTTAAATAATAAATTTATTTGATATATTCTTTTATTTTTTTTATTCTTTTTAATTTATATTTATGACGTTTAGATATTAAATGAATATCCCATTCTTTTTCTCCATTTAATACAATACCACATATTTCACAATAATACTTTTTCCATTGAGTTAATTTTGTTTTTTCTTCTTCTTTAATTTCTTTTTCTTTATTTAGTATATTTAATGAATTGTAATTAGAATTTAATTGTTCATTAATTTGTTGAAAAATTAAATCTAATTGGAGAATATCGTTCTCATGATGAATAAAATGAATAATAGAAGATTTTCTTGTTTTTATTATTTTATTATTTATCCATCGAATTTGTTTCTTAATATATTGTTTTGTATGAATTTTAACATTTTCAATTGCAATTTCTATTGGTATTCCTTTTACTTTACATTCAATAAATTCTTGAAACCCAATCGCCATACAAATTCCCCATTTCCATTCTAATTGTTTTAACTCTTTTTCATGTTCTTCAATAAATTTCATATTTTGTTCTATCATTCCTTGTTGAACCATTGCATCTACTCTTTTATCTGCTCTTTGGTAAAGTAATTTAATATCAGCATCAACCCAAATAATTATAGGATTATATTTCATTTCAATATGTTCCTTAAGAAAAACACTACTAATTGGTTGATTATATTGAATATAATATATTAATGCATTTTTAATTCTAGTAATATCATTTGGATGTAATCTTTCTGCCATTATTGGATCAATTTCTTTTAATTTGTTATACCACTCATCTTCTTTCCATGGAAGGGTTTTTGACTCATTAATTTTAATCAAATCTTCAGATTGGTGTCTGAAAAGCAATGCGTCAATATAATATGAAGTTCCTCCACAAATTATTGGTACTTTATTCTTTAAACAAATTGTTTCAATTGTTTTGTCAGCATCATTTACCCATTGTTGAACAGTATAATTTACTTCAGAAGAAACAAAATCAATAAGGTGGTAATGAAATTCTTTTTTTTCTTCTTCACTTGGTTTATTAGTTGCAATAGGAATTCCTTTATAACATTGCATTACATCTGCATTAATTATTTCTCCATTTAATTTTTTACAAATTTGATGAGCAACAGTTGATTTTCCACTTGCTGTAGCACCAATGACAACAATGATTTGTTTTTTATTATTTCTGATAATAGGTTCATTCATTTAATAGTGTAAGATTAAATCATTATTCTTTTTTCTTTTTTTTTTAATTTTTTATTAAACCATTATTTATTAATTCTTAAATTATTATTATTTTAATTTCTTTTTCCATAATAATTATAGAAATAATTTTTATTTATTTTTATATTAATACTTTATTTCTTTATTGGAAGTTACAAGGTTTGGAGTAGGAGTTTGATAGTCTCATTTCAACTATCAGTAATTCCTGGGAAATTCCTCGAACCATTAGATAGAAAGTATCAATCCTAAGTGGATGAGGAGTGTGTTTGATTGTCCGGACGTTGAACTCTATAGTGAGTCCTATGTTCAATTAAATCATTCCTTCGTTGTAGGTACAGTAATCCAAACAAAAATAACTTAATGAGGGTCACTCTGTGACTTCCACTTTTTTTAAACTTCTTAAACATTATTTTAATATAAAGCTCTATTATAACAAAATTTTGTTTTTTTTATCTCAGGGTTTTGGTGTGTCCAATATGGGGCGAGTTTGGGTCTGTTTCTTTGATAAGTCAAAAATGTCAGTATCAAAACTCCAAAGCAACTTTATAAATTAGTCAAAACTGTCAATTTTCTTAAAAATAAATTAAAAAATGTATTAAAAAACATTCTATCTTTATTCACTTGAAAATCACTTGAAAAGTAGCGAATCAAATTCAATAACAAAAATTAAAAATAGAAATAGTAACTCTTTTGAATCAGAAATAAATTTTTAATAATGAATATTTTCTCATTTACTGATGTTCCAGATTATAATCTCTGCTTTGTGTTACTTCAATGATGAGTTATGATGAAAAGTTAGAAGTTAATGGTGTTTGGCCATCAAAATCAGCATTAAAAGCAGCAGTAATTGCTAGTGGAGTAGCTAATCCTAATGATAGACGATATTGGAAAGTAATAAGAAGTTCAAAAGAATACCTTTCATTAACATGTTGTTTTGCTATTCAATGTAATTGTCCAGCTATTTTACGTGCTTCAAGAAGTTCAAAGTTACCTGGTAGACCTTGGGTTGTTAGAGAAGTTTGTTTAAAACATGGAAATGGTTGTAAAGGAAAAACTCCAAAAAAATTTTTTGGGACAGATTTTATTAAATCAGTGTTACCACCAGAGTTACTTTTAGGAACATCGACTGAGGTTGCTAAATATTTAGAAGAAAAGAGTGGACTTTCTGTTGCTCGAAGAACTATTTCAAGACTTCAAAAAGGAAGTAAACCAAAAATAGAAAGAGTAAGTCAAGTTGTAATGGAATTTCTTAGAAAAAATCCAGGTTCTAGTGCTTCTATTCAAGGTCAGATGGTTAGAATTGTTTTTGGAGTAATTAAAAATGCATTACCATATCTTCAACATTCATTAATATCATCTGACATTTGTTTAAATAATGGATATCATATGGTAATTATTAGTGGTATGGATGGAGAAAGACAACCATTACCATTATGTTTTGCACTTGCTTTACAAAATATTGATGTATGGGAATTTGTTTATGAAGGTTTACATGATATTCTTGGAGATAGACAAGATTCAATAACAAAAACTATTTCTAATATTCATTTATCTAATGAATCTATTTATAAATTTGAATTAAATGACTCTGACACAACTATGACAAAAACACTTTGTAATATTATTAATACAATTAGTTCTTTATTTGAATCAAGAAAACGTCAAATACAATTTACAAATAGTAAATTTGTAAATTGGTTAAATAAAGATATTGAATGGAAAATAGAAGGTGCTTCTCAAATAGAATGTTATGGTGAATTTCCTATTTATTATACTAAAACTTCTGTTCCAATTTGTATTGATTTAAATAAGAAAACATGTAGTTGTGGTGAATTTCAAAGAACAGGAACTCCATGCATTCATGCTGTATCTGTTATTCATTACTTACTTCATGAAGATTATGAACAATTTGTTGATCCTTGTTATTTTGCATCTTCATTAAAAAAAACTTATTTATTATCTCTCCTTCCAATTTCTTTCTCTACTATAAAACAAAATGAAGAAAGAAAAAGAGTTTGTGAAGAGAGTTCTGAAGATTTATTAATGAAAAGAAAAATACAATCACCAATTACTTTTTCAAATGAACTAAATTTTAACTAAATCCCTATAATAAATACTTCAACAAATATTAAATATTTTATATCTATTTCTTTATTAGAAATAAAAAAATAATAAATTAAAGAAGAGAAAGGTTTTAACATTCATTTAAAATGACATAGAGAAACGTTGAATCATATTTGAATATTTCATTAGTGTTGTAGACCCTTTTCTTAAATTTATTGCTAACGAAGAAAGTTTTTGAAGAATACAGTTGAGACTAACTTCAATAGCATCTAATTTGTTTAAATTGTTTATCAAAATATCTTTTAATGTTAAGTCATTAGTTTTAACAATAGGTGTTTTAGATTTTTGAGGATAAATGATTTCATCTCCAATAAAGGATATGTAATTATCCAACATCTCAATTTTTGTTTTATATTTTTCATATTCTTCATTTGATTTAATTGAACTAATATTTTCTTTCATTATTGTTAATTTAGGTTGAATATTATTTTTAATAAATTCACTAATTTCTTCAATTTTATTTTCTTGTCTTTCTGGTTGATTAAATGTTTTAGAACAATGTTCAAGTGTTAATCTAAGATCATTTTCACTTTGTGATATACATGCTAATAATTTACCTCTCTTACTTCCTTCTTCTAAATTTCTTGGAGATGGAAGTACTTCTATTCCATCAACTTTTGGGGTAAAAGCTCTTCTTGAAGGAGAGAACGAAGTGTTTAACTGAACTAAATCTGGGGTTTTAGACATTTTACTTCTTGAAGAACGTTCAGAGAGTTTAGGTGATTTCTTAAATTGAGGTTTCCAAAACAAAGATTTATTATATCCCTCTAAATATTCATCTACAAGAATACTAATTAGTGCATTTTGACATTGAATAAGAATTGGTTGCATTTCTTGAACAGAATCACATTTCTTTAACAATCTATATGCGACATGGTGTTTTGCTTTCAATTCAATAAAAGCCATTTCAGAACGAGAAAGAATTTGTGAAATTGTCATTTTATCTTCTGGAGTTGTTTGAATATATTCAATGAATGATAATGTATTTTTAACATTTTCATTATTACTCTCTATGTATTTAATAAAATTATTTTGAATTGATCTTACTTTTGTAATTGCTTCTTTAGTTAATGTTTTTGATTTTTCAATCATATTTTTTTGAGCCAATTGACAAAACTCTTGTAATCTTTTAACATCAGCTGAATTTGTTGCAAATCGTTGAATTTCTTTATCACTAATAATTCCCATTAGTGTTGGTGCAGTATATCCACATGTTACAAATTCATCAGTAAACTCAACTAAGTTATAAGGAATAAGATATTTTGCTACATCAACATATATTTCGTCATTCATTGAAATCTTTAGTGCCATTTCTATATCTTTAGAAAGTAATTGTTTATCATCAAGAGCTGTAAGACGATGAGTTAAATCTTTAAAATATGGTGATTGTTTAAATAAATCAAAGAAATCTTTACGTTCCATTAATTCAAAAATATCATTTTTTGCTTCATTAAACAAATTTTCATATTTTGCTTCTGTATAACTATTTGTTATACTTTTTTTTATTGTTTGATTTAATTGTAATTCTTTACTACTT